AATATGTCAGTCAACCCAGCCTTCAACTTGGGGCACACGCGATAATGCCTCATATCGTCATTGGCCACATCCAGAGGACACCCAAAGGCACAGCCCACCACCGTGGTATGCAGACGACTAGAGGTACATACTCCTCGGCAGAGCACTCTAAGGACCCCCGTGACGAGGTGCATCGTGCTGTCCTTCTCCACTTTGCGCATCCTTTGGGCAAGCTCCTGAAAGTCAGCAACAGTAAAACGGTCGGGGCCCACCCACTTGGACACCCTCTGCACCATGGTGCGGAGGGGAACAGTGGGGTCGCGGAGTCCTCTGAGGGATTTCTTGGGGATGGGTTCCAGGGTCGGGATCGAGAAATTGCCTACTTCATTCACCGTCGTCCTGATCCAGGAAGACTTCCACCAGTGGCCAGCTCAGTCGAGCAGGAATGAAGTTATCGTCATCCAGGGAAACCGTCAAGGACTCCATCTCATACTGGACAGCATCAATACTGGAGCAGGACATCAACACCCGAAACTTGATAGCCTTCGAAAAACAATCGATGTCCAGGCACTCTAGAGAGGCTCCCAGCGCACGCAAGCCCGTCAGCATCTCTCTCGAGAAGGCATGGCGGGGACCAGCAGTGATCACCTGAAGGGCCTCATTATACGCTTTCCGAAGAGCCGTAGTCACAGGACAGAGTTGTAGCTGGTACGCCAATATCGACATGCAGTGCGAGTGAAAAGACGAATAGTCTGAGGAAGTCCTAGCCCAAGCCCACGGAGCCTCCGAACCGTCATCCAGAACTTGGGAATGGTATTGCTCCATACTTTATCCAAAGCACCAGGCCCAAGCCAAAATCCCAGGTACAAAACAACGCGAACAAACCCAAGGCGATGATACTCACTCCCCTTGGCTCGAAGGTGGGCAACTAATCTATCAGGATCAAGCGAGCCAATCACCAATACCTTACATTTAGGAATGTTCAACCCCAGTCCTACCGCATGTTCCAACTTACGGAGGAGCGAAAGCGTCGGCTGAAGGTCCGTCAGGATGTTGGGAAGGCAGAACGAGAGATCATCAGCGCATGCTCTAATTCGGGGGACCTGGCCAGTGAGCCTGGACCTCATCCAGCGCAATACTGGGTCTAGCGCACGACGCATCGCAGGATTGCCGCACACCACGTTCCACCGAAAACTCGATACCAATAGTCCCAGGGAAGTTGATAACAGCCACATTGTCACGGCAGAGCTCACGAAAAACAAAAAAAAAACTTCACCAGGAACACCCATAGCATCCAAGACCGCTAGGAACCAGGAGACGATCAGAGAGGGGAACGCAGCCTTAAAGCCCGTGAAGAGAATTCAAGAGCGACCCCCACCAGTAAGCATCTGACGGAGACACCACCATTCAATCTCAACCACGTTGTCAAGGAGCCCACGCCGCGCGACCCCCCCTCGCTGGATCGCGTCGATCACGGTCGGAGCAGCCCGCTGGAGGCCGATGGAGAACGCGTCAACCAGGAGCTTCGCATCGGCGTTCGCAAGTGTGAGAGGTCGAGTCTTACCAGGTGACCGAACACGGGCCGCGGGGTTCTCGTCGTCTTTGAAGCCTTTGGGCAGAAAACACATCCTTCCACGACGCATGCACGCAGAGACAGTGCCCCCCGACGCCTGATACATCTCCTCATAAACAGCAAAAAGAACTTCAGCGCCCCCCCCCCCCCCCCCCCCCCCCCCCCAGCTTTCCAGCACCCATGCGGAATGCCATCCTCCCCAGGAGCAGAGTGATGCTTGAATTGGGCCCGCTCTATGAAACCGTCGACCTCCAACTTCCACTGCGAAGAGTCTAACTGGATCGGCTGGGCATGGGCGAGGATTTCAGGCCAAAGGGTCCGATCAGGTTCCTTGGCGGCAAAAATCGCTTGCCAATGGTCCCGAAGGGCCTCAGCAGAGGCCGTCGGGGAAGGGCAAACTTGCCCTGCGCTGTCCAGGATTCCAGAGAGCCCGTATCGCCGACGCATCTTGGACCAGGCTCGACGAAGTGTTGCAAGCGTGCCATTGCCTTAGCCTTAGACTTCTCGTCCTCCTCCCATCCGCCCATCGCCCGCTCCTCCGACTCATGCCAAGCATCCTTCAGAGACTGCTGCACCAAAGCACCCAATCCTGCTATACCCACGCATCTCTCATGGTCAGGATCGAAGTACTGAAGCAACCGCGGATACGCACGGATCGCGCGCGCACACTGGTCGAACCTGCCCATGCGCCACCCACGGAAGGCCATCATAGCAAAGTGGAGCTTCTCACAATTCTCTTTCGGAGGCTTCATCCGAAGCCGAGCCTTGAACTGAGGGGCCATCTGCCAGACAATCTCCTTCACCCGAGCCAATTTCTCCCGAGGGGTCAGATCCTGGTCGATTTCCATAATAGCGCTGGCACACAACTCATGGTAAACACAATGACGGGAAATCCATTTAGGGAATCTGGGTGGGCAACGCTGATGGCATTCTCAGAGCGGCAGCGGCAACAACGGGGATATGGTCGGACGAGGCAACTGTCTTCACTGCATGTCCCAAGGTATTAACTGTCACAGCTAAGTCATTCAGAACGGGGGCAGAGAGGGAAGTGTAGATGCGGTCCAGGCGGGCAACCCCACGAACTTCTCCCTGGAACACATCCCGCCGCGTCGGATCAGGTTGGAAAAGCTCCGCCCGGGACCCACAGATAGACTGAAATGCATCGGTGTGTTCCCTATCTCCTGCTAGCCACGTGCCATCAGTACGGAACCGCCCCTCCTCCACCTCCATAAAGTTCCAATCCCCTGCAATCAAGCACATGGCGTGCGCAGCCAAAGGAAGGAAGCCTGAATCACACAAAGGTACCTGCGATACATCGCAACATGATCCGAGGTGTTCGGCATATGTACATTGACAATCACTAAGTCCCCACGACATCCTTTCAGGTGCGAAGCGAGAACTCGGCCAGCAATCAACGGGACGAAGAAATCGATTCGAACTGCGAAGCCAGCTTACTCGAGATAACAGTAACCACACCACCCCCAGCTCTCGGATCGATCATCGAATGGTGAATAACTGCATTACGGCAACGGTCATCCCGCTGTAACATCTCCACATCCGACACTGTGCCATGAGTCCTCCTGTAAACACACAGCGTCGAACCTGCCGACAAGACCATGCATCTGCTTGTGCCGCTGAGCTGCCAATGGAGACGACGTAGAGTACGAAGAGAAGAGAGCACGTGTATTCCAAGAGCACAGGGTAAGCGCAGAGGAGGGAGCGAACACCCCATTCGCTCCAGAGGACGGGTCACCAGGGGTAAAAGGTCCGCCTGAATTCAAATTAAAACACGGGTTGGCTGGCTGAGCACCGTCCTGGCTAGTCGGAACACGGGTCCGATGGTTTCCCCCGACAGGCCCCGCATCCCAGGGGGGGCCCGAACCACCAGGGACCCGACAAAAATCGCCAGGCAGCGCACTGGGAGTCCCGAGGCAGGGTCCGCCAGAGCAACTGTGGGCCTCACACAAAGGGCCGAATCTGATCAAAAAGAGCTGCAATACAGCCTGCATGATCACCTACTCCGAAGGTTCCGAGGGCCTCAGGAATCAGAACAAGTTCAGGGCGACCACACTCTCGGACCGTGACCTTCGCCAGAATCACTGGGTGAGTCGCCGCAATGAGGCCGTATATTTGACCGCCGAGACCATTGCTGCCCACCTGGAAACCTTTCTCCCCCAGGACCTTCCCGATGATAGCACGAGTCTGCCCGAGGTAGTAGAACAACTTACGGCTAGCGGGGGGCAAGTCCCGACGCGCACGGAGCTCCCATCCCTGGTTATCGATCGGGTTCTGGCACACAGTCTTACCAATAGTCTGGCTCTTCCCAAAGAGCGCCGTGCATGACAGAGTGCTGTGGAAGTCAAGAATCACCTTCCTCGTGAGAGAGCATGCTCGAACGATCGGCTCCTCCCCTGCTGGACTGCACGCATCGACAATAGGGGCCACCGCTTCCTTGAGAGACGCCTCCAGAAGGGTTTTTTTCCAAATCCAAGGACAACAAGACGGGTGGCACTGGCTTGGTCAGGCCCCGACGTACGCATCATCTTCCGACGCCCTCCTTCCCCTTCTCCTCCCACGAGCTCGAACTCCGAGTCGGCACGAGTCGACGAACATGCTGAGAGCTTCTGCTGTAGCTCCTGCATCTGACCTTCGATCTTTGTCACTGCTGCAGCAAGCTTCGCATCTGTGTCAACCGAGACCTGGTGGATCGCTGCGTCCTGGGATTTCTTAATCTCTGCCCAACGAGCCTCCGACCGACGATTCAACTCCGCGAACTCCTCCTGCATACGATCGAAATTGGACCCCATCACTGCCATCTGCTTATTGAACATTTCAAAGTTCTCGGTATGCGAGGAGAATCCTTCCTTCACTAACTTCGTCAACGCGTAGATCTGCGCTGACACCTCGCTCTGTACCTCGGGCGAGGCGGGTGGCACACTTCCTCCTCCCGCCCCCACAGGGGCAAAGGATGGTGAACTCTCTGGAGAGCCGCACATGGAGCCCGTCATGCGAGCGCCCCCGGCCATGGCTGGAGGAGGGGACAGGGAGGACGGCCGCAGGCGCAGGCGCGCGGGCCGAGAGGGAGGGAAAGAGGGAGACCCGCGGCGCGGGCCGGGGAGAGCCAGGCCACGCGGGTCGCGCAGACCACCCTGAGCCGATACGGCTTGAGCCAAAATGGCTACGGAGGAGGAGGGAGAGGAGGAGGAGAAGGAGGAGGAGGAGGAGGAGGAGCAGGGCGAGGAGGAGGAGGAGGAGGAGGGGGAGGAGGAGGAGGAAGAGGAGGAGGAGGAGGAGGAGGCGGAGGAGGAGGAGGGTGAGAAGGAGGAGGAGGAGGAGGAGGCGGAGGAGGAAGAGGAGGAGGAAAAGGAGGAGGAGGAGCAGGTGGAGCAGGAGGAGCAAGAGGATCAGGAGGAAGAGGAGGACCCATCGCGGGCGGATCCTACGACGCCTTGGCCGCTCGGCGTCCGGCTCCGCTGGCGGCCGCTCGGCGGCCGGCTCCTGTGCCCTCGCCGGCGCCTCCTGGGCCGCTCGGCGGCCGCTCCGGCTTCGGCGGCCGCTCCGGCTCCGCCGGCGCCTCATGGGTCTTCGAACCCTCGCCGCCGCCGCCGCCGCCGTCGTCTGCGTCGCCGTCCTCGCTGTGGTCGTCGTCGCTCCTCGCCGTCGTCGTTCTCCGTCGTCGTCGCCCGTCGACGTCCTCCGTCGTCGTCGCCCGCCGTCGTCGTGGTCGCCGCGGCCGTCGTGCGCCTGTGGTGTTGGAGCCGCTTCTCCTCTCTCCGAGCAAGCGGGGTGAGACCAAACCACCACCACCCGGAACAGAAAGAAGGGAGGCGGCGCCCTCAACCTCACCCTGCACGGGTGATGCACCGATCAACATCGATCCGCGAGGAGCCCGTGGCTACAAGCAGACCGACCAAACAACTCCCGTCGGTTTTTCACGGTGCCAGCCAGGATGGCCGCCCCACCCGTCACTTCTCGGCGGTGGACAAACCTCCCCTTAGTCAACCACGCATTAGTGAGAACGGCCTAAGTCCGAAACCGACGGACCTGGACCCGCAAAATGACGGCCGCGACGCCCTCTCGCGAACCGAGAACGGCCGATTCGCTAATCGGCGTGTCAGGGAGGTCTATCAACCTCCGAAGTTACCCTCCCAAATCGACCCCCCGCACTTGGGCATCCTGGAGCGCGCTCCGACCAGCATGCCGTTGCGGGTCCAGCCAATGCGACCAGGGAGCCGCCCCTTCAAGACCCAGAGAAGGTTGACGAGCGACGACGACGACGACGACGACGACGACCACGACGACAATCACGACAACAACCACGACGACAATCACGACGACGACGACGACGACGATGACGGTACTGGGACGACGGGCGACGACGACGACGATGCGCGACGGACGGTCGGTCACAGACGACGGCAACGGGCGGCGACGAGGATAATGGCCGACAACGGACAACGACGAGGACGACCGAAAACCAAAAAGCGGTGAAAATGAACTGTCGGATGTCCAGGTGGATTTGTTGGCGCTGGACCCTCTCCCTCCTGCGGTGCAGTGACAGACTGTGCGGTGACCTCGGAATCTCTAACGACCTTACCATGCGGGACCTCGGATGCCCCAAGGACCCAAATCCCGAAACCGTGCGGTCACCACTCAGCCCCACTGCCTCACCACATGGTGTGGTCACCACGCCGTTTGGGAGCCCCCCGACTCCCCTCCAGCGCGGAGAGCGCGCTGGTGTCGCGCCAGGGGGTGGCGGGGAGGAGAGCCTGGCACCGACCCACGAGGAAACGCCGCGCGACGGCGGCGGCGACGGCGACGGCGGGCCGCTGCGCCGTCAGCCGTCGCCGCCGTCGGCCCGCCGCCGCCCTCGTCTGGGGGGCAGAACGGTACCGACACCGCTGCTCCCCAGACCTTCTCCCGAAGTGCACCCGCGACCAGCACTTCCGATGGCGGCGGAGGCTCTCCAGGACGAGGAGCGGCATCGTCGCGCCGCCGGCGGGCCGCCATCGCCGTCGCCGCCGATCCTCGCCGCTCGTCGGTCGCCAGTCACTTCCGCGTCTACTCGTCGCCGCCACCGTCGCCTTCGTCGGTCAGTAGCCGCCGGCCTCTGCGCCGCCTCGGCCGCGGCATCCGCCGCCGCCGCGGTGGCCGCGGCCGCTGCCTCGGCCGCGGCGTCCGCCGCCGCCGCGGTGGCCGCGGGCCGCCGCCGCGGCCGCGGCCGCGGCCTCGGGCGGGTCGCCGCCCGCGGGCTCGGACGGAGACGGGGCCTCGGCCGCGCGCGGCGGCGCTCCAGGCGGCGGGGGCGGCGGGGGCGGGGGCCTCGGCGGCGGCCGAGGGGGGGCAAGCTGTGCGACAGGTGTGATCTCGTGGCAGACACGAGCATCGTTGAAGCGATCGCTGTCCCCACTGGCGCGACCTTCGTGCCACTGGCCGATTTACCCCCCCCCGAGATGGGGGGATGTGCTATCTCCTTGGGGTTCCGCAGGTCATGTTCCAAAGTGGGCGGGAGGGATGATGGGGCTGAGATGCTCTCCCCGAATTGGGATGAGGATCAGTTAGAAGATACTCAAGACAGGCAGACAGACAGACAGACAGATCGAAAGACAGACAGACAGGCAGGTAGACAAACATGTAGACAGACGGACAGCTAGACAGACGCACAATGTCGGGCAACGCGTGGCTCTGCACGGGGGGCAGGCGGATGGTACCGCAGAGCCGCTGCTGAACTCGTTCAGATCTTTCACGCAAAGACCTGCCTGCAGGCATTTCTACAGCTCCGCGTCGCAAGCATGATCACTCCGATCCCCGCATGGAAGTCATGCCCAATGCCGCACAATAAACTGTCCAGATCATCGCCAGCATTCGTGTCTCGGGGGCGGCAGTCGCAGCCAGATCCTTGACCTCGCGGATCAGACTCCTCGGCCGCGGCCCCGTGGGTGCAGGGCGGCTCTGAGCGGATGCCCCGCACAGAACGTATCCATGGGATCGGACATACATGGGGTCGCACCGCGTTGCCCAGTGCGCGATGGCGTGGGTATGGACATGTTCGGGGCTCGTGGCATTCGAGGTTCGAATATTGATGATTGAGATTCGAAGTTGGTGGACCTTGTCTACGGGGGCCTGCAGACTCTGGACGCCCCTGGAGACCTCCAGCTTATCTCGGCAGCGGCTGCAGTGGGACAGGACTACGTTTGCGAACACCCACAAGCCAAAACTGCCAGCATAGGTGAAAGCATCTAAAGACCTCGATCCTCGTTCGTCCACGATCCTCGATAAGAGGAACAACCCGTCGAGCATCGCATTCGCATGACCGCGCAGGCTGGAACGACTTCTGCGCTTCGCACACAAGGACCACCCCCATCCTGGTAACTGATGCCCAAACTTACACTACTGGTCAGTAGCATTGAGGAATTCTGAAACAAACCAAAGCTAAATAAAGGACCCGCCCTCCATCCGCGCTGCTGCTATATGTAGAAGTTCCTAGCGCTTCATACGACCAACTGCTGCACGTGCTAAAAACGAACGGGCGCCGAACTAAGACAATGATCAAAGCTTAAAAAGGAACCGCCCTTAATCCTTGGTGCTACTGCAAGCTTTTAGTGGTATTCTCGCCTGAGCGCGGCGCACATTCGCCTTAAATCCCAAAAGCCCTTCAAGGCGTGAGTGGTTTAGGGAATATCCTCTTCCACCCGTGTTCTTTCCCTTCGGGGAAGGGTTTATCACTATTCCCGAAAAACACCCCTCCCCCAGGCGACCGGCAGCCAACCAAGACCACTGAGGGCACCCCCACCACCATCCCGGTCAAAAAGCCATGTAAAGTTTGCTTTGGCGCAAAATATTGGGTCATGATCGTGGGGGGCGCGAGCACGTTGTCTTGTTTTGAAGAGGGACAGCGGGGGTGCCCGCATATTGCCTGCTGCGCGCAGGGCCAGCATCCCTGTCAAAAATAATGCAAAACGCCTTTCGATTCGAAATCTGGATCGTGTCACTGTGCCTTGGTTTTTGACTGGACAGCGGGGGGCGGGGGTGCTGGTATATTGCCTGCTATGTGCAGGCCCACCAGACGCTATGATGGCCAGCCAGCCGCGATTGCGCACTGGTTTTCGACAAGGGTGTTTGGGCCGACGCGTCTCCCGATGTGTGCTGCCACGTGCGCAGGCGCGCCTGGCACACTCTGCGCGTGCCCCGAACGTGGCGCACCTGGCGCGGTTGGAGCATGCGGCACACATGGCGCACGTTTGAGCAGGGACCGACCGTCCTGGCATGCCTAGAGTCCTACCACGAAGTGTTCTCAGAACACAGAAATGTCTAAGAACATGAACCATGCTCTTAGAACAGAACCCCGATGTGTTTAAACCAGGCAGTCCCAGCCAGACATGTTCTGAGAACAATTCGTGGAAACCACCAAAGGTTCTTAGAACATTGCTTGGTAGGGCTACAGGCGCGCCAGGACGCTGCGCCACTTCTTGACATCTGGCGCTCCAGACGTGCCTGGCAAGCTTGGGCCACAGGGGTGCATGGCGCACCTGGCGCGCGTGGGCGCCTGCCACGCCTCGCGCACCTCGCCCCAGCGCTGCGCACATCATTAGCTGTCCACCCAGGGACTGCAGTCGGACTTCATTGGACAGGACGCGCGAGAGGACACAAGACCCTTCCAAGGGCCACATTGCCACAGAACTGCAGGAGGCATGGGTCGCAAGACACAGGACACGAGGGTACCTCGATTTGGCAGGGTCGACCTACTAATCCGGGCCGCCTGTACTTCTAAACACGCTGAAGCTCGGGTGCCACGTATGTGTTGGAAGGCGGGTGGGAGTGAGCGGGACGGCTTGCGGGCGGGGAAGGTGTCTCGACCCCTCCCCCTACGCCCTCCCCTGGACCTTGAAAGGGTGGGTGGATGGGCGGCGAGGCGTCAGAGCGTCCAAGACGGCCTCCGCAAGAAGGCCTCAAGCAGTGATGTTGTTCAGGTTTGGATCCATGTTGACCTTCTGGCATGGGGGCTGTAATGTACTACCCTACCCCGCCGCTTCTTTGTTCGACCTCCTCCAAGGTGGAACCAAGATAGCCCCCAACGCTACCAAGGATGCTCCAACACGGCCCCAAGAGGTGCGGAGGAGGCCCCAAGAGGCCCCCAGAGCACCCAAAATGCCTCCAAGAGACTCCCAAGAGGCCCACCAGCGGCCCCAGGAGGCCCCCCAGAGGCACCCAAGGCGCCCCTAGACGCCCCTCGGGACTGCCAGGACGCCCCAAGATGAGACCAAGAACCTCTCGAAAGACATCCGCAGAGACTCCGAAAGGAATCCAAGAGGCCTATGGCCTTTCTGCTCGCCCTCCTCCTCCTCCTCCTCCTCCTCCTCTTCCTCATCCGCCCATTCCTCAATTTTCCTAGTTCCTCGTTCCCCTCCCCCTCTCCCTGCTCTTCCTCCTCCTTCTGCTCCTCCGATTCCTCCTTCATCCTCCCCCTCACTGGGTATGACGCCTTACCCAGCCATTCATTCCACCACTGCATGCCCCTCTGCATCCCTGACCATGGCTTCTCGTCTGGGCCTCGTTTCTGGATGGGGTTGTTGGGCGCCCGAGTTATCCGGGGTAACTCGGGTCCGGGGTAACTCGGGTTTGGATTCCCGAAAAAGGAACCCGAGTTACCCCTGACCCGAGTTACCCCTGATGATTCGGGGCTCTGGACGCCCGAGTTATCCGGGGTAACTCGGGTCCGGGGTAACTCGGGTCTGGATTCCCGAAAAACGAACCCGAGTTATCCCTGACCCGAGTTACCCCTGATGATTCGGGGCTCTGAGGTTGGGGGGTACGCGAGGCGTCGAGCATCAAGACGAATGTGCGCGGGGCCAAGGCCAGAGCCCCATTTGGAAAACTGCCCGCCTGCATCCTTGCAGCTGCTGCAAGCGGTTGACGAGAGTGCGGGGTCACACAAAAGTGATACCTCCATTCTGAAAACGACCTGATCCCCATACGTGCATCTGTTGCGACGCCCAAACTTCAGAATCACACATTGTGAAGACATCTCAGAAGGACAAACCCAGCCCGCCCTACCGTCACGCCTAGGGATGCGACAGGGAGGAGGTAAAAAAGAATAGAGGGGCAACGGGATGTAGGAGGACGAGGAGGACTAGGACGAGGACGAGGATGAGGAGGAGGACGACGACAACCATGATAACGCTAATAATGACGGCGATGGCGATCGATCCTCGAACCCAGAGCCTCGCGCATCGGCCGGCCGAGGCGCGGGCGGCGGCGGCACGTCGTCGTCCTCGTCGCCCGGCGCAGCGGCGGCGGAGGAGTCCGCGAGGATGGTCCCCAGCAACCTGCGGCGGCTCTGGCTGCGGCGCCTGCCGGGTGGGGGGAAAGAGGGAGGGAGGGAGAGGGAGGGAGGGACGGAGGGAGGGAGGGAGGACGAGGACGAGGAGGAGGAGGAGGAGGATGCAAAGGGGGTCCTACTGGTGGTGTGGCTGCCCTGCCCCGTGGCCCCCCTGCCCCGCACGGGACACCTCCAGTCTCCAGCTCACGCGGGGGGGCATCGTGTACTGCATTATCGCTGGAGGTGCCCCGCTGGTGGTGGTGGTGTCGATTCTACGAGGGCCTCCGGCGGGGGGCTCTCAGCGCCGTGACAAAAAAAGCGGGTTTGAGCTTTTGGTTCGTCTTCGGTCGGCTCCGCCCCGATGGGCGCAGGTACTCAGCGGGTCCATTCTCGGATCGGCGCGGCAGGATGCAGCGCCCCCTGCCCCCTTTCCTGCGCACGGTCGAGGTGCTCATTGATGGCGTCCAGGCCCCGGGAACATCACATCATAAACTACCCAGAGTGAAGAGACGCTCCCGAGGGATGGGAGTCGAGACCACTGGGGGCCCACGATGTGCACAAAAGCTCGACGTCGGGGATCTGGGGAGGCCGCCTTCAGCGGATGTCCAGGCGAGGAGATCGAGGATCGAGGCCGAGGCCTTGGGATATGTTTGGTGCCCTCGCAAGCTTTCTTGAGTGTCCTCGTCGCCAAAGCTGGAACAGCAACATGCGCAACAGGACAAGAGCTGGCGCAGCAGCAACAACACGAACTCTCCAAACAACGTGCGGCTTTCTGGGAGCCCCACTCTCCCCACCCCCCCGTGTGGCGCCCCTCCATTCGGCCCCATTCCTGACACCGCAAGCGCATGCCGAGCAGCACTCCATGACCGAAGAGGGCAGCACATTCGATGCCCGCTCTGGTGCTCCTCCTCTGGGGGCCGCTACGACAAAGCTGCGGGGCGCCAGCCGACGAGCTGGCAACAAGACAGAGCTGGGACCACCCATCGGGGACGACCCGTGCCGTCGGCCCGGAAGAGGCAAGGAGGAGGAGGAGGAGGAGGAGGACAAGAAGGGGGAAGAGGAGGAGGAGAAGGAGGGGGAGGAGGAGAAGGAGGGGGAGGAGGGGGAGAAGGAGGAGGAGGAGGAGGAGGAGGAGACACTGGCTGGAACAGAAGACCGAGGGCTCCAGAGGCGCTCCCCTCGCCCCTGCCCCCCTCCCCCTCCCGCCCGTCCACGATGCTTCCCAAGAGAGCGTGCTGAATGCATTGGCACCAGCATGTACTTGCCCACTGAAGCCCTGCCATGCGAAGCAGGCGGTGCCACGAGGCCCGACACGGGCTGCGCGCTGCCGGTGGATCTGAACAGGGGTAGGACAGCAGCGCAAACTGCATAAGCATGCTGTCTCGGAGATCCGCGCGGATTTGCTTGATCGGTGCTGGACCCTCCTCCCTGGCGCGCGAAGCGCGCCAGGGGCGGCGCCGGAGGAGCCGCCAGGAGGGCCCAGCGCCGATCCACGAAATTCACGTAGAGATTCGAGCAACTATCTTCAATTGTGCCGCTGCCGCTGTTTGTTCTTCGATGCGTGCTGTCACGCGCCAACCGCGCGCTGGGTAAACTCGCGTTGGGCTGACACGCGCTCCGAGGATCAACGAACCCCCCCCCGTCCGATCCCCCCCCTTGGCGGAGGAGGGGTGGCGTGCCTGCTGCGACTCCTCGTCCGGACCCCGGCCTTGCGGACGCTCCGGCTCCTGCCCACCGCTCGGGCAGGGGGAGGCCACTTGAGGGACGATTAGTTTTGTTAGCAATATACATGTATATCTATATATATATATATATATATATATCCACCAGGCTGCGAGGGTGAAGATTGCAGCTCCCTGTTCCAGTTGCAGTTTCCAATTTCCACTGTTACAGTACTGCTTTGTGCTTTCTTATCGTCAATTGTTGCTGTCCGCGCGAGGGGTGGGAGCCCCAAACGGGATGTTTGACCTCGCCCTGGGAGTGTTCTCAGAATGCCTGGGGGGGCGTGGGACACAAAAAAATACATCATATTCGCGTCCCCGAAGCCATAATGCCTAGTAAGTTACGCCATAGCCGCGTCCCCGAGGCCATAAACCTTGGTAAATTGCAAAATGTTCGCGTCCCCGAAGCCATAATCCTTTGTAAAGTATGCAATATTCGCGTCCCAGAGGCCTTGGTAAATTAGACAATATTCGCGTCTCCGAGGCTATACAACCTCGTAAATATGATATGCCACTTACCAATTGCCCTAGCATGAGGTTCCGACATTGTTTCACGACGGCGCCGAGAGAATACAACATAGCTCTGGCATGCCCCATTCTGATTGAAAGGGGGCCGGCAGCAGGGGGCGAAGCCCTTACGGACATAACGAAAAACTGGTCTCACGCGCGATGACAAAGCGACCTTACGCAGTGGCTTATGCAGGCCGCCAGCGTGGCAGGAAACATTGGAAACGAGGGCGCTTACGAGCGACCTTGCGCGGGTAGCTTACGTGCCAGTGGCGGTGAGCACGCCTCCGTTTTCACGCGTCCATTTCTTCTTCGAAGCGCAAGGAACACCTGTCCCGCCTCTACCCCAAATGGCATCGTCGAAGCGCGACTACGGATGCAGTCCCGCACTACTACCACTACTAAAACATTGGGTCATCAGCTCCATTTGCACTGAGCAAGGACGAACGCAATTCCTGGTGCAACGGTGCCCACGCGCCCTCTCGGTTCAAACATACCCTGTTGGTATGGACACTCTGGGGGCTCTCCTGGTTTCTCTTCAATTGAATGTGCGCTGTCGATCGGGGCCTAAGTAAATTCATCTTGGCGTTCTCTTGCAGGTTCCGCGGAGACCCGATAAAGCCAAGAAAAGTCAAAAAGGACCCCAAGAAGACCCCTAACGGGCGGGAGCACGTTGCGTGGGCGCCCATGCGCGGGAGTCGATTGACCCTCCTCGTGCAACTAATTGAAACCAGCTGTCGCATCTCAGGAAACAAAAGCGGTCTCAACCGAAATCATGGTACATCTGCTGGAACCGGAAATTCGGATCGGATACTTGGGGAAGGGGGAGGGGGTGGCGTTCCCAGGAACTCGGAACGAAACACGCAGAACAACAAAACAACAACCCGATGTACAACCCGATGTTCCGGGTCCCCGAAGGATGACGAAGACGGGAATAGGGATGAAGACGAGGATGAAGGGGACCCCATGAAGGGGAGGAGGGAGAAGGAACCGAACAAGGTGGAAGACGACAATGAGGGGGAACGGAGCTGCCCCGAAGGGGGCCTGCGGCTGACCTTCGCCGGCGGCGGGGTCTTGCTGCGGCTGCGGCTCTTCGCGGGGCTCTTGCGCGCCTTCAGCTTGCGGCTCTTCGCCGGGCTCTTCTTCCCCTTCCGGGGGGGGGGGAGCGACGACGAGGGCCCAGACTCCCGCCCGCCGCGCGGGCATCAGACAGTGGGCCTGGAGCAGCGAGCAGCTAACTACGCCCAGGGAGCAGGTCGAGAGCTCCGGGCAATGCGGATTGCAAACTCTGTCCGTCGGAAGCCCGGGGATGCGAAGGAGGCACATCGATCCTCGAACCTCGGCCCGCGACCCTCGAGGCCTCGAGGCCTCGAAGCCATGGGGCCTCGGGACCTCGGGGCCTCGAGACCTCGAGGCCTCGACCCGCGACCCTCGATCATCGAGTCCGAGGCCTCGAGCCCCGATGTATTCGCGCCCTTCTGGGGCTCTTCGGGCAGCCAAGGGCCTCCGGAGGCCGCCTCCTCCTCCTCCTCCTCCTCCTCCTCCTTCTCCTCCTCTTTCTCCTCCTCCTCCTCCCTCCTCCTCCTCTCTCCTCCTCCTCCTCCCCTCCTCCTCCTCCTCCCCTCTTTCTTCTCCTCCTTCCTCCTCCTCTCTCCTCCTCCTTTCCCCCCATCCTCCCCCATTCCCCCTCCCCCCCCCCATCCCCCACCCGTCGCGTGCCCAGGATTGGGCCGCGCCAGGGTCCGTGTACGGCCAGGATGGCCTGCGCAGACGGCGTCGACAGCGCGCCGCACGTGGCCTCTGCCACTCCCAAGAACGAGGGGGAAACGTCAGGGGGGGACCGGCTCAGGGGGGCAAGCGGCGACCTGGAATCGGCAGTGCATCGCCAACAGATCGGCGACAGAGCCCTATCGGCGACATGTGGACGATGGGGGTCGATGCGTACGCCCCTGCGACTATCCCCCCCAGCCTTACCCCTGAAGGAGGGGACCTCCCATGAGTATCGTTTGCCCGATCCCCATCCCCAGCGGCGTGGCCTGGGCCCCACCGACCGATTTACCCTCCTAGATGGGGAGATAAACCGTTCCCTGCGGGTTTCGAAGGGTGTATCCCCAACTGGGGTGGTAATTCGGTGGGAGCCTCGAAGGGGATGAGGATGGGGATAGGGGTCGGATGACGGATGCTGATCCCAGCGGCCGCCTTCTCGGGGCTCTTCTTCCCCTTCTTCTCGGGGCTCTTCTTGCCCTTCTTCTTCACCGGGCTTTCCTTGCGGCTGCCACTGCGCTCCCGCCTCGGGCGGGCACCGCTGCCCCCCCCCCGCCCCCAGCCTCCAGAGGAACCAGCCCGCCAATGCCGCGCCGCCGCGGGGATCCCGTCAGCGTGCTGCTGGCGAAGAGCGCTGGGCGCCCGGGCACAAGCCGAGGAGCAGCGTGCTGACAGGCCCCCCATGCGGCAGGTGCGCCGTTGGACGCCCCCTACACCGAGGCCGGGAGGCACTGCACCAGCGCGCTCCCCCTCGCTGCCCGACCCACTGGAAGACCCAAAGGCCCTGACCACGCGCGGAGACCGTGCCCACGTCCACGGCCTCGCGGCCCGGGCCCCGCGGCCACGACACCGTGGATCGCGCCCCGGTGCCCAGGCCGCGAGGGCATGGATGTGGACGCTCCTCGTGGAGGGAGACCCCGAGGACGCAACAGGGGACGGGGCGCGGGGAGGCCGGAAGGACGAGGCGCACAGTGGCCCCGAGATGCACCCCCATTGGCACGGCGCGGGCGGCCATCCTGCGGCTCGCATGGTGGCTCACGCCCGCGCCTGCCCACCGCTGCTACTGCTCCTTCTCGCACACACCGAGGGGCGCGCGGCCCCGAGGAAGGCCCCGCCTCCCCGTCCCTCGCCCTGACCCCCGACCGCGCTCCGCACAAAGCCTGTCCAGGGGCTCCTCGACAGGGCCCGCGTTCCGAGCCCGCTCCAGCAGTGGCCGCGAGAACTTGCAGAAACGCCCAGGAACCTGCAAAACGCCGACGACGACGAGGACACCGACGCGGACGCGACGCCGACGCCGACGCCGACGCCGACGCCGACGCCGACGCCGACACCGACGCCGACGCCGACGCCGACGACGACAACGAAGACGACGACGACGACGACCAAGACTACAACCACAACGACAAGGCTGACGACGACGGCGAGGACATTGCCTGAGGACATGGAGACATGGACGACGCGACCACCACGACGGCAGCGGCGGCGAGGACGGCGACGACGACAAACTTCCCTTCCTTTGAGCGCGAGCTGACCAGTTTCTCGAGACGGATCCAGCCGCGGCGACGACGGCCCCAGAGGTCCAAGAGGCCCAACATCCTGCGAACACCTCGTTCCTCGATCTTCGGTGACGGTGGCGGCGGCAACGACGACGACGCCACGGCGCGGCGGCGGAGGCAAGCACAAACACCACTGGCATGAGTGCGCGGAGTCCTGGTGGAACTGGATCTTGTGTCCCAAGCGCCTCCCCCGGGGGCCTGCCTGTCATCCCGGGTTGCATTCTGACAGCCCCAGGGCCCAGGAAGGGCCACAGGAGACCAACAACGGCGAACAACATCAGGGACGCCGTTCATCCTCTAAGATCCCTCTCCCTCATACTGAGCAGATTGGAACGCCTGGAATGGGTGAGGAGAAACATGGGACCAGTACCCAACAGCAAATGTTGCCCAGAACTGGCGGCGGCCGCTGCCAGGCCAGCGAGAAGCTGCATCATGTGGACACGGTCCGCGGCGACGCCGACAGCGGGGCCTGTTCAAAAAGGACAGGATATGCTGCTGGTCTACGTTCCCAATTCTCTCCTCCCCCGTCTCAGTCCTCCAAAGCATCAGGCAAGGCTAAGCCCAGCTGGAGGCCCACAAGGAGGAGGCTCGTGGCTCCAACTTGACTTTCCCCCAGCTGGACTCAGCGCCGCCCGAAGAGCAGGCTAACTCCAGCTGGAGATGCACCAGATGGAGCCTCGTGGATCCAAACGGTCTTGGCCCGACTGGACATAGCGTCGTCTTACGATGAGGGGGGACGTTATGAGGGGACCAGCTCAGGAGCGGAAACATCAAGCTGGAATCGGCGATACATCGCCGATTCATCGGCGACGGGCCCCCGATAGCGAATCCTAACGTTCCTGCGCGGAGCTGGCTATGGGGCCCATGTCGGCGATCCATGGGCGCTTAATTGGGGATCGATGCTTTCCCTGCTGAGCCAGCTCCCCGCTGACGCTGCCAATGAGAGAGGCAGAAGACGACGACAGTGGCCACGACCACGACGACGACGACAAGCAGGACTACGACGACGACCACGACGACGACCACGACGACGACGACGACGACGACGACGACGACGATTGAGACGACGACGATTACGACGACGACGACGACGACGACGACGACGATTACGATTACAACGACGACGACGACGACGACGACGACGCCCGGGGCCGCCCCATGGCCGAGCCCAGCGGCCGACAAGCGCCCCGGCGCCCCCCATCGCGCCGCGGCGCCGCCGCCGCCGCTAGCCCGCGCCTCCCCCGCCACTAAAGCGTGCCCTCGGGGGGGCGGCCCGGCGGCCGATCCCCGCGGCTGCGGCGGCGGGGCGTCTGGAGCGCATGCTTCACTCGCGACCATGACGGGAAGGGAGGGGGGGAGGGTGGGGGGGGGAACGGGAGGGGGGCATAACGTGCAGTATTCGGCCTGGACGAAGGAACGACAAAGAAGGGACGAGGCCCCTTTAGTTCCAAGTAAGTCTACGAAGTCCGAGGGAACACCAGGGGGGCTCGCCGCCAAAAAGGTAGCGGAACGCATGCAAACCAAAGGAACGACCTAGACCCTTTTGAGAAGGAAATGTTCCTTATTCAAGCTGGACCCTGTAGCCCCCCCCCCAGACTGTGGCGCCTGAAGCGCTGCGGCAGTGCTGGGGACGCAACGCAGCACTGCGGCAGTGCGGGGGACGCACGGAGAGAGGGGAGCGTTGGGGGGGGAGGTGGGGGGAATGGTAGGGGGCATCACGCGCATTATGGCCCAGAGAGTAAAACAAAAACACTCTCGTGGGAGGCGCGCGGATAAGATGAGGGGCAACGACCGGCCACCGCTCGGACGTCTCGTCCCCCGTGCACTGGCCGATGTCGTGAGCGTCTCTTTTGTGGCTCCAGGATCCAGGAGGCTCCTCGAGGCTCCTCGGCGAGAAAAGCACACATCCGAGAGATGCCAAAACGATAGGAAAATGGCCAACACAGGGAGAAACGCATCGACCCGGCATCGGCGATACATCGCCGGAAGGCCCCCGATGGCAACACCGAGCCTTCCTGTGCGGGCGGGGGGCCATCGGGCCCCCATCCGCGATCCATGCGCGACGGGGGGTCGACGCACGGCCCCCGAAGATGCCCAAAGCAAACTCCGGCCGTGGCGACGAGGGCCCCCCGGCGATGTCCAAAGCCACCACCGACGACGACGACGACGACGACGACGACGGCGGCGACGACGACGACGAAGACGACGACGAGGACGACGGCGGCGGCGGTGACGATGATGACCAGGTGCCTCCGTCGGGGTGCTCTGGCGAGGCTTTGGGCACGACCTAACGGCCGGGGCCTCCGAGGGCGAGCGCGGCGGCCCAGGTCTCCCCAGAAGCAACCAACCAAGGGGTCGGCCCTGCCTCCGAAGATGTCCAAAGCAAACTCCGGCCCGTGGCGACGAGGGCCGTCCGAAGAATTCCAAAGCCACCCGAGTCCCCTGGAGATCCAAAGCAAGCAAAGACCTAACTTCTCGAACCTGTATCCTCGAACCGACTTGAATGTCGAAGACGGAAGGAAGATGCCCCTCTGCCTTCTCCAGCATCCCTCCTCCCTCGTCCCTCCTGATAGCTCCTACATCTTCTCGTGGTCCTACTATCCCCCTCGTCATCCTCATCATTTTCATGCTCGTCGTTCTCCATCCTCATCCTCACCATCCTTACCATCATCCTCAACCTCCTCCTCATCATCATCGTCATCATCATCATCATCATCATCATCATCATCATCATCATCATCATCATCATCATCATCATTGTCATCCTTATCCGCATGCCCATCCTCATAATCATCCTGATCATGACCATCATATTTATCATCGTCGTCGTCGTCGTCGTCATCATCATCATCATCATCATCATCATCATCATCATCATCATCATCATCATCTTCATCATCATCATCATCATCATCATCATCATCATCATCATCATCATCGGCATCATCATCATCAACTGCAGCATCATCGGCATCAGCATCATTGGCATCAGCAGCATCATTATCAATATCATCATCAACAACATCGTCAACATCATCAGTATCAGCATTCTCATCAACACCACCTCCTCCATCATAATATTCACCACCATCATAAGCAGTATCATCACCAGCATCATCATCATCATCATCATCATCACCAGAATCAACATCATCATGATCATGATTATCATCCTCATGATCCGCAGCAGCATCATCATCAATATCAGCATCACCATCATCATCAACATTATCATCACAACTCATCACCATCACCATCACCATCACCATCATAATCATCAGCATAATCATAACCATCACCATCATCATCATCATCATCATCATCATCATCATCATCACCATCATCATCAGCGTCATCAGCATCAGCATCAGCAACGGCATCCGCATCAGCATCAGCACCAGCATCTTCATCCTCATCCTCATCCTCATCCTCGTCATCATCATCATCCTCATCAGCATCATCATCTTGTTCCCAACTCTGGTCCTGCCCGTCGTGGACACCATTCTCCTCTCGCTGCTCCTCCTGTCCTATCCAACTCCTGCTCAATCCCCACCCCTTCCTCCCCTGCGCGCCAAACCCTGGCATCCGGCCTCCTGCACCTCGTAGCGAGGCCCGGTGGGGATCTCCAGGCAGGGGCAGCCCCAGAAGTACCCCGTGAACGTGTGGACCTGGCCAGCGATGAGGACGTGGGGCAGGGGCGGGGGCTGGCGTCGGAGGGGAGTGCCAGATCGGGTCGAAGGTGGGGGGAGGCCCTCCTGCATCGAGGTTTGCGGGGCGCTCCTGGCAATGTTCGAATCCTTTTCGGGATCCGTTGGGGGGGCTTGTGGCGCCCCTCGGTGATTCGGGCAGGGGGGGGGGCGTCCGAGCGTCGGGAGGCCCCAGGAGTCTTGGCGTTGCATCAGCACCGAAATTTCTCCTCCTCCTCCTCCACCTCCTCTTCCTCCTCGCCCACCTCCTCCTCCTCCTCCTCCTCCTCCTCGTCCTCCTCCTCCTCCTCATCCTGATCCTAATCCTCACCATCCTCATCCTCAACATCATCCTCATCCTCATCCGCATTTGACATTATCATAATCGTCTTCCTCGTCATCATCCTCCTCCTTCTCATCTGCATCATCATCATCCTCATAATCATATTAATCCTCCTCCTCATCATCAGCATCATCAGCATCATAGCCATCATCAACATCATAATCGTGGTGGTCGTTACCGTCATCATCATCAGCATGTTAATGCAGCAGCAGTATCATCATCAACCTGCACATCATCATCATCATCATCATCATCATCATCATCACCACCACCACCATCATCATCATTATCATCGTCATCAGCAGCATCAGCATCAGCATCATCATTGTCATCATAAGCATCACCATCAGCATCATCAGCATCAGCATCAGCATTATCATCATCAGTATCATCAGCATCATCATCATCACCAATAACCACTGCCTCATCATCATCCTCGTACTCTTTCGCGTCCTCACCCTCACCATCACCACCACCATCAGCAGCATCGTCAACATCCTGTTCCTCCTGGTCCTCTTCCTATTCCTCCTCATCATCATCATCAGCAGCATCATCATCAGCACCATCCTCATCAGCATCATCAGCAGGATAATCAGCATCAGCATCAGCATCATCATCAGCAGCATCATCCTCATCAGCATCATCACCATCGTCAGCAGCATCATCATAACCAGAATCCGCAGCATCAGCATCGTCTGAAGCATAATCATCATAATCAGCATCAACAGCATCAGCAGCCGCAGTAGCAGCAGCATCATCAACATCGTCATCATCAGCATCATCATCATCATCATCATCAGCATCATCATCATCATCATCATCCATCATTATTGTCAGCATCATCAACATCACCACTATCATCATCATCAGCAGCATCAGCATCACCATCAGCATCATCCTCCTCCTCATCATCCTCCTTCTCCTTCTCCTCCTCCTCATCATCCTAATCAGCATCATCATCATCAGCAGCATCATCCGAATCATCACCACCACCATCACCATCATCATCAGCATCATCATCAGCATCATTATTAACATCGTCATAATCAGCATCATCAGCATCAGCATCATCATCAGCATCAGCATCATCATCATCATCATCATCATCATCATCATCATCATCATCATCATCATCATCATCATCATCATCATCATCATCATCATCATCGTCAACATCCTCAACATCATCCTCATCCTCACCCTCAGCACCACCACCGCCATAATCCGCCGATCCGGCGTGTGAGCTTAAGAAGTCAAAGCTGAAACTCTGCGACAGCATGAGCTTCAGCTCTGCTTATGTGCTCGGCACCTCCCCCCACCCTGCCAGCTCCCAGGAGAGGGGGGGGGAAGGGAGAGGGGGGGGGAGAGAGGGGGGGGCAGGAGAGAGGGGGGGAAAGGAAAGAGGGGGGGGGGACAGGAGAAGGGGGGGACAGGAGAGAAGGGGGGGGGGCAGGAGAGAGGGTGGGGAGGACAGGAGAGAGGGTGGGGGGGGGGGCAGGAGAGAGCGGAGGGGGGGGGGGACAGGAGAGAGGGGAGGGGGAGGGGAGGAAAGGAGAGGGGGGGGGGGACAGGAGAGAGGAGGAGAGAGGGGGGGGGGGAGGGGACAGGAAAGAGGGGGGGGGGGGACAAAAAGAGGGGGGGGGGACAAGTGAGAGGGGGGGGGGACAGGAGAGAGACTCGGCACCTCCCCCCCCCTGCGAGCCCCCAGCAGCAAGGGGGGGGGGGGGGGCAGGAGAGAGGGGGGGGGAGAGGGAAGGGGGGTGGACAGGAGAGAGGGGGGGCGGACAGGAGAGAGGAGGGGGGGGGGAAGGAGAGAGGGGGGGGGGCAGGAGAGAGGGGAAGGGGGGAGAGAGGGGGAGGGACAGAAAAGAGGGGGGGGCGGAGGGGGAAGAGGACAGGAGAGAGGGGGGGGGGACAGGAAAGAGACTCGGCACCTCCCCCCCCCCCCCCCTCCAGCCCCCAGGAGAGAGGAGGGGGGGGCAGGAGAGAAGGGAGGGGAGAGAGGAGAGAGGAGGGGGGGGGGACAGGAGAGAGAGGGGGGGGGGGGGACAGGAGGAGAGGGGAAGGGGGGGGACAGGAGAGGAGGGGGGAGGGGGACGGGAGAGGGGGGGGGGGGGCGGACAGGAGAGGGGGGAGGGGGGAGGGGATTACAGGAGAGAGGGAAGGGGGGGACAGGAGAGAGGGGGGGGGAAGGAGAGAGGGTGGCAGGAGAGAGGGGGGGGACAGGAGAGAGGAGAGGGGGTGGGGGGAAGGCGGGGATCATCACCATCTCCATCACCATCACCATTGTCACATCACCATCATCATCCTCGCCAACAACAACAACAACAACAACCACAACAACAACAACAACAACAACAACAACAGCAACAGCAACAGCAACAGCAACAACAACAACAACAACATCATCATCATCATCATCATCACCATCATCCTCATCGTCCTCATCATCACCATCATCATCACCACCACCACCATCATCAACATCATCAACAGCATCATCATCACCAGCACCAGCATCAGCATCAGCATCAGCATCAGCATCAGCATCAGCATCAGCATCAGCATCAGCATAATCATCATCATCATCATCATCATCATCATCATCATCATCATCATCAGCATCATCATCATTCATCATCATCATCATCATCAGCATCATCAGCATCATCAGCATCATCATCAGCATCAGCATCATTATCATCAGCATCAACATCATCATCATCATCATCATAATCAGTATCATCAGCATCATCATCATCGTCATAATCCGGAGCGCCCCGGATCGGCGGCACTGGCCGGAGGCCACTACAATCATCATCCTCAGCCTCAGCCTCAGCCTCAGCATCAGCATCAGCATCAGCATCATCATCAGCATCAGCATCAGCATTATCATAATCATGATTAATTCCACCCCCGCCCTCCTCCTCCTCCTCATCCTCCTCCTCCGCCTCCTTCCACTCCTCCTCCCCATTTCTTCGTCCTGCGCCGCCTACTCCTCCCTCCGCAACGCCGACCCCCCCTGCTCACACCTCCTCCTCCTCCTCCTCCTCCTCCTTCTCCTCCTCCTCCTCCTCCTCCTCCTTCCGCCCCTCCCTCATCCTCCTGCTCCGCCTGCCCCTCCGCCTCGCTCTCGTTGCTCCGCCCTCCGTCCAGGAAACACTCAGGCCTAGCACTTCCCAACGCCCACCTCTTGATCAACAGGATGGCGCCGGGTGGCCCGAGGCTCGGCCAATCATTGCTCTCTCGCGCGGATCGTATGCTCACGCCCCCGACGAACCTCCGCCAAAAAAACGCTTACCCGGAGCCTACCCCGGCAAGCCTGTCAAGCCTCGCCTATAGCCGTGGCGACGAAGGGGGGACCCCCAAAGGATCACACGAAACTTCGAATACGCTACTCCAGACTGTTCCATAAGCTACAGGGGGCCACAAAGACAGATGCACAATTGTCAGGATTCTCTTTATCCGATGTTTCCCCTATAGTTCCACATGATCATGAGGATATTCAGGTATCTGTCTTTGTGTCTAATTTCGGGCTGGGCGAAAGGGGGGGATAGCAAAGGGAGTGGGGGTGAGAATCGGCTCACGTAGCTGATTTCCCCGGCACCTCCCGGCGCCGGAGGCGGCCATGTATCGAGGAATGGGCCCCTCGGTGGGGCCGAAATCAGCTGCATGCACCAGATTCGTAACCCCCCCCTTTCCCAATCCCCCCCTTTCGTCCGGCCCGATAATTACATCTCCCTCCTGAGAAGCACCCCCCGGGTGCCACTCCGCCCGGCGGCCCGCCTCCCAGCCCCTCACGGCGCGCCGAACCTGTCTCCCAACGAGAGGCCGCCGCTCCACGCCCTGCGCCAGACAACCCCCTTCTGCCAGAGGCCTCCTAGATGGGGTCGGAGTAGATGGGGTCAGAGGATCGCACCGCATCGACGATACATCGGCGATGCATCGGCGATGCATCGGGGATGCATCGGCGACATCAGCGATGCATAGGCGACTCCACATCGAGCCGCATCGGCGATGCATCGGCCGTGCAGCGCGTTCCTTCGGCCCCATCTGCTCCGACCCCATCTGGAAGGCCTAGATCTGCATTCCCGGGCGAGCCAGCCACCACGCCCCCCAAAACGGGGGTACAGCGAGGCACCCCTGCCGCAGCTCCCCAAGACATCTCCACGGGTGCGCTCCGACCAGAAGAGTGTCGAGGCGAGCCCGGCCGCGGCGACGAGGGAAGGTCAGCAGCACGGCGGCATTTCATTTTAGAAGACATACAGCATCAGCGTTAAGTCGGGCCTGTCCCTCTACAGGAGGAATCTTCAAAGATAGTGAAAAATAGTCAGGGGACGATGTTTCCAGTATTTTTGACAAGTTTTGAAGACATTTGGACTATTTTGAATGTTGCCCTCGAAAAGCCCCCTGTAGGGGGACAGGCCCGACTCAACATCAGCGCGGATTTCATGAATCTGCGCTGGACTCCCTCCCCCGGCGCGCAGCGCGCGCCCCGGGTAGCGCTGGAGGCGCCGCCAAGCGAGCCCCAGCGCGGATCCGAGAACTCCGCGCTAGGCTCCACAACTTGATGCTCATGCTGTCTGTTCTTCATCGATTTCGCATGGGGGAAACGGGTTCTGAGGGAAACGGGTCCTGGATCCCGGTGCCTTCGCCCCCAAGACGAGTTTCTCATCTCGAGTTGTTCCCCGACGGTCTCGGGCCTCCAGGAGGGCCCCACGAGCGCGAAAACGGCGAAAAACCTCAGGAACCGCGTCCCCCACCTCGCCACCGCTCGGACGTCCACTCCCCGTCGTGCACGTTTCGGCTTCGCAAAATGACCCAAAGATGCTCCTCGAGGCCTCCTGGATGGGGCCCCGGTAGATGGGGTCCGAGGATCCTGCCGCATCGCCAATGCATCGGCGATGCATCGGCGACGTCGGCGACGCATCGGCGACGTCGGCGGGCTTCTGAGAAGTGCCGCCGCCTTCTGAGAAGGGCCTCTCCTCGGGGATCTTCTGACCCTGGTCAATCCAGACCTGGGTCAGTCGGGCCTTGCAGACTCCTGCGAGATCCTGCAAGATCCTGCACCCAAGCCCGGGCCAATGCGAAAGATCCTGCGAGATCCTGCAGGATCCTGCACCCAAACCTGGGACAGTGTGACCCTGGCCCTGCAGGATCCTGCAAGATTGGGCGCTCTGGCTGACCCCCGTTTGCACTGACCCCCGTCTCGAGACTCCAGAACTCCTTCTCGCTTCTGGGGGAACCGAAAGGTACCGATACCGCTACTCCCCGGACCTCTCCTGCGGTGCGTTCTGACCAGAATTTCGAGGCTAATCCAGCGGTGGCGACGAGGGCCTCCAGGGAGCCCCCAAAAGGGGAAAACGGGGGGAGGGTAGAGATATGGGTACCTGTTCCTCCTCTGAGTTTGCATTGACCCCCGTCTCGAGGCTCCACTTCCCGCTTCCCCCCCTCGCTCGCCGCCGACCCTCGGGTGAGCCTGCAGGGCCGAGGAGACGGGAGGCCCGCCAGCGACGAGCGGCACGCGGCCCGTAGAGCTCGATGCACTCGACCAGGACGTAAGGTTAGGTCGGGCATGTCCCCAATACAGGGGGATTTTTGGACGAGAAATAAGAAGTACTCAACAAATACCCCCAAATGGTAAAAAAGTACTCTAACAATCGTCCCCATACAATTTTTCTGCTGTGTTTGAATGTTCCCCCTGTAGAGGGACAGGCCCGACTTAATAGTAAGGATACGCGGTGAGGACGCAAGGGCCTTGGAACGTCATGTCGACGTTTTCCGTGCGGAGCGCAGCAGAATGCCGAAGGATGCCGAATACCGAAGGGGCAAGGATGCAAGGGTAGCCTTGGAAAATTGCCCCATCCTTACTGTCATGGTTGACTGTAATGGGGTCGACTACGGAATCTCGGGTCTACAGCACGTGCGTCGAAAGCTCGTAGATCTACGCACAGTTCCCGTGCTTACTTTGGCTGATTCTTCGAAGCAACCTATTCGGTGGAATAACGGTCCTGTAGTTGATTCCCGACACGAGCAGCATGGCAAGGCTGAACATTGCCCTGCACGGGCGCAGAAAAGAAGGATGGCCACGAACATATTGTCTTGTTATTCGCAGTAACGCCTCTGACCGACCACACCAGCATCTCCCCACCGTTCCGCCCGCCCCCTGATCTCGTCACGATTCGCGCCGTCTGGAAGTGGCCATTCCTAAGCATTCCCAGTCGGCGCCAGCGCGAATCGCGACGTGACAGCCCCCATCCCCCCTCCCCCCCGGTCGTGCCCGTGGTCGCCAGGATATCAACAACGGTCTCCACACAGAAGCGGCCCATGGAGAACGAGGAGAGGGGCATGCGACGCGCCGAGATACGTACGTCCGGAAAGACAAGGGGTGGGGGAGGGGAAGGGTCCATTTGCGCCCCCGTGCTGGTCGTCACGGCTCCCTGAACCAGGACATTACTCCCCCGGACTTTGAGAATCCCACCTGGAGCTAGGTCGGGCGTGTCCTCCTACAGGCGGATGTTGGACGAACAATAAAAAAATATCCAAAATTCCCAAAAATAATAAAACGTGGTCAAAAAATCCTCCCCCGACTTACTTTGGACTATTTTCGAATATTCCTCCTGTAGAGGGAGGTGCCCGACTTCAACCTGGAGGGAACGCAGACTGGAGGATGCTTCGACTCACGGCTGCAGTTTCCTCGGGCGCGCCGACGCCATGGCTTCTCAAACCCCCCTGTGCAGGGGGCCCGCAGGCTGGCTGCACGGGCAGCCGCCCCGTGGGCCCGCCGGGGCGATCCTCGGTCGCCCGTGTTCGCCCAAGCGAGGGCCCCATGCTCCTCCTCCTCCTCCTCCTCCTCCTCCTCCTCCTCCTCAGCCGCCGCCGCCGCCGCCTCCTCCTCGAGGTATGCGGGGGGCGGGGGGGGGGGGGCACGATGCGGAAGGGTGCGGCGGCGGGCCGAGGATGGAGGATGGTGCTCTCTCTGTGCCTTCTCTTCCCGCCCGCCCCCTGCCTGCTTCTCCCTGACGGCTTGCTACCGTTGCGGCCTCCTCTTCCCCTCCCCCCCTCTCCCTCCCCCTCTCCCTTCTCCTTCCATTCCTCCTCCTCCTCCTCCTCCTTCTCCTCCTCCTGCTTGTCCTCTCGGACGTTTCAATGGAGCCGCTCTGAACTGGGGCCTCGCCAGCGTCCTAGATCTGAAGAGCCGCCTCGAAGATGATGTCTTGAAATGCTTCTGTCTATGCCCCCTCTGGGCCTCCCGAGAAGGGGAGGAGGACGAGGACGAGGACGAGGAGGAGGACGAGGAGGAGGAGGGTGCAGAGGAAGTGGAGGAAGAGGAGGACGAAGACGAGGAGCCGATCTTTCTGCATACCCGAGGGATGCTACAGCCCTGGAACTGAAGTCCTATCTAACGCAAAACGTGGAGGAGGAAAAGATGGAGGAGGAGGAGGCGGAGGCGGAGTGGCACTCCCCTTTCGGGGGAGCGGGCGGACGTCGAGCGTGGCGCTCATAAGTACGACGCGCAGGTCGCTCCGCACGCACAGCAGCTCCTGAGGGCACGCAAAGGGCGGGGGCATCTGCCAAGTGGCCGCGCACGGGCGCGCGGCGGGAAACACAGACCCACCCACCCGCAGTCATGACCCCCCCCCCCCTCCCTAACTGGTTGAAGGGGCCCAGGGACACACACAAAAAACACACACACACACACACAAATCCCAAGATTCCCCCTATTTGTCCAGATTTTCTGGACTCTCTTCTCCCCCCCCACTTCCCATAGTTTCCAATCTTTTCCGGGGAGTCGACGATTAATTGTGTCTGTGCGTTTTGTCCCCCTCCTGACTGGTGATCAAAGGGGTCTATTTTTGAGGAAAGGAGGAGGGCGCACAACAACAACAACAACAACAACAACAACAACAACAACAACAACAACAACAACACAACGCGGCTGCCACCGCAGTGCGAACCAAAATCAGCGGCAGCGTGAAGGAAAGACCCGAAACAGGATGTGTATGAAAATCGCCGCACGAGCGCACGCCACAACGTATGCATCGACCTCATTCGGCAGAGCCCCCTGTGATCCAGGGGTCCTGGTTGGGGGTGGGGGTAGTTGCTGGGTGTTTGGGGGCAAAAGCGGCCCTCACCCCCAGCCAAGACCACCTGGATGGGGGTCATGGATGGGGATGGGGGTGGGTTTGTGGTATCCTCGGTGCAAGCGGATCCCCAAAATACTCTTGAGCGGACCTTCGAAATTTCTCCATATCTGAAAACCGTTTCGGATGGCGACCGTTGCGTCCGACGAGTCTCTGGCTATACATCTGACTCATGTTTCGGAAGGGCATTGTCGGAGGGCGGGTAATCTTGAGCAAGGCCGCCTGTGGTTTTCATAACCTTCAGCCTTATCCTCACCCTCATCCTTACCATCCCCTTCCTACCATGGCATTTGCCATCGCATGCCCATAATCACCCTCGGAGGAACGCAACACAATGTTCAACACTGCGTTGACGCGCATAAAGTCCTTCAGAAGGATCAGCAAAAAATCCGTCATGAGGTCCCTCTCGTGAACTTCATCGACGAGCACGTGTGAGACCTGGCGAGGGGCAAACAGAGAGTTCGAAGCGGGCAGCAGAGAGAATACTGGAACTGCGGCCCTCGGTTGTCCTACTCTTGCTCACCCTGCATCGCCACGCCCTTCGCGCAAGGTGTCGTGCTGAAGCCGTCGGTCATGGTGTGCGATATGCTCCGACGTTTGTCGAACACCACCCTACAAAAGGCACATCTACATATTCTTGCCCGCACCTGCCCGTGTTCCCCGCTCCTGAGACAGCAGCGTAAAAAGGCCGCACTAACGACTTATCTTGTCAAGAGAATGCAGCAACGCACAGGACAGATACCGGTACAAGGAAATCAGGAGAATGCGCGTGAAACCAAATTGCATCTTGTTCGAAGCTGGGATACTATACGTGTGCGCATCCCCCGACCATTCCCGCTATGAGCGTCGGAGTGCGATAATCTTAGCCTGTGGTCACTGAGCGCCCTCCTTGGGTGCCCCAATGCTAACCCCTCTTACATGGGGATGATCTTGGAACTCTGAAAAGAGTAGAGTCGGGGGTGCCCCAACTACCGTTTCGCTCGAGACATCCCCGCAATCTGGCAGCAATCAGGCAAGTGTAACAACCCTTGGCGGCTCACAGCTTGGGTACACACATGCCATTCATCTACATCGCGGAGATCATGGAACTCTGAAAAAAGAGGAGTCGGAGGTGCAACACGAGCGCCTCGCTCGAGACTTTCCAAATCTGGAGGCGAACAGACAAATGTCCCCCTCTCTGGTGGTTCCCCCTCGTTGCGCCTAGATGCAACGCCTGCTACATCGCAGAGGAGTCGGGGACGCCAAAATGATTTACCGCTGGAGACATCCCCATACTCTGGCCAAGGATCGGGAAGTGGTCCCCTCTGGCGGCTCCTCCTTGGAGTGCCCAAATGCTAGGCCTGCTACATCGCGGTGACAACGGGAGTCGGGGACTCCAAGCAGGCACCTCGCTCGATACTTCCATACAATCTGGCCACAAACTGGCAGGTGTCCTAAGCCCTGGCGGCTCCTCCCTGGGGTGCCCAAATGACACGCGCTCTGAATATGAAGAGCGAGTCTGAGTAGGTCTGAGTACGAGTGACAGACTGTGGATCAAGTATGACAAGCTGAGGAGGAGAAGATCTAAGTGTGAGTGGTCTGAGTGCGTGAGTCTCTGAGTATGAACAGATCTGGGGATGGACCTCTGAGTACGAGTGGGTCTGACCATGAGTAAGTCTGAGTATGAGTCTAAGTGCGAATAATCAGCAGTATGAGTGGCTGAATGCGGGGAATTCTGAGTGTGAGTGAAGTCTGCCTATTAGTGAGTCTGAGAACGTATGAGTCTAAGTATGAGTGATCAGGAATATGAGTGGCTGTGTGTGGATAACTCTGAGTGTGAGCGAGTCTACATATCTAGTAGAGAAAAAGCGTGACTGGCCTGAGTATGAATGAGTATGACTTCGCTGGCAGATCTGAGTGTGAGTGCACCGAGTATGCGAGGGAGAAGGCGGAGGCGTCACACTAATAACGAGTGTCCTACTCAGGGCATGGGGAACAAACATGCTGCCGACAAGGTTCACAATAACCTGCAACGGTGGACTCAGCGCGTGAGAATCCAACCCAGAACTGAATACCACGACTCCAACCTGTGGGTACGCACGCAGTGTCACGGGATAACTGTGCGTACGCTAGCAAGACGTCCGAAGGACAGCGCCAGCGTGTGATGCACAGTGCTACTTCAAGGTAGGGTGGTCCGTGGGGAGAGCAGATCTTACCTCACCAATGCGATGATGGCTTTCTGTAATATGCAACACTCAACCATACAAATCCGCTGACCCTGTCGGCGTGTGGAAGAGGCTGTTCCGTTTGACTCGTCCTCGTCGTCGTCGTGGTCGTTGTTGTCGTCGTCGTCGCTGTCGCCGTCGCCGGTCCCCTCCCTTTCCCTGAGCCTGGCGCCGCTGCCTCCACTGTCACCGGGCCCTCCTCCTCGAGCGCGCCAGCCACAGCGAAATTGAGCAGCGCTGTAGTTGACTCAGAGGGAAGCCCCTTCCCTTTGATCCCTTCCCCGCCAGAGGGGGGGGGTCCCGGGTGGGGTCCCGGGGGAGCTGCTGGGAGGGGTCCCGGGGGAGCTGCTGGGAGGGGTCCCGGGGGAGCTCCCGGGGGGGGTCCTGGGTCAGATACGACCCCCCTCCGGGCGGTTCTGAAGCCCAGACAATCCCCAAGACGTAGCAAAAGTGCCCCGAGAGGCCCCCAAGAATGTCCTCGAGGGCTCCGAATCGCCGAAGTGTCGGTCAACGTCGCGATAGCCTCCAGACAGCTTTGGAAGTTCCCAATCCAAGGACACCCCCAAGAGGGCCCCAAGGAGCAAAAATCATAGATTTCCCTTAGTTTTTGAAAGATTTGGGCATTTTCGCCTTGTCAGCTTCCCGACGGTCCAAGACAGGCCAAGAGGCCCCCAAGACCGCCCCAATATCGCCCAAGACCCTTCCAAGATAGCCCAAGAGGTCCCCAAGACGGCTCCAAGAGAGAGCCCAGACTGGAAACTCGACCAGACATTTCGAACCCTCGGCCTCAGAAGCTCCCAGGAGGCCCACATAGGCCCCTAAGGAGCTCCCCACGAAGCACCAAGAGGCTCCCAAGATATCCCCAGGAAACTCCAAGAGGCCCCCACGAGGCTCCCCAGCGGCCCCCAACAGCCTCCCAGGAGGCCCCAGACTATCTGGCCACAAACTGGCAGGTGTCCTAAGCCCTGGCGGCTCCTCCCTGGGGTGCCCAAATGACACGCGCTCTGAATATGAAGAGCGAGTCTGAGTAGGTCTGAGTACGAGTGACAGACTGTGGATCAAGTATGACAAGCTGAGGAGGAGAAGATCTAAGTGTGAGTGGTCTGAGTGCGTGAGTCTCTGAGTATGAAAAGATCTGGGGATGGACCTCTGAGTACGAGTGGGTCTGACCATGAGTAAGTCTGAGTATGAGTCTAAGTGCGAGTAATCAGCAGTATGAGTGGCTGAATGCGGGGAATTCTGAGTGTGAGTGAAGTCTGCCTATTAGTGAGTCTGAGAACGTATGAATATGAGTGGCTGTGTGTGGATAACTCTGAGTGTGAGCGAGTCTACATATCTAGTAGAGAAAAAGCGTGACTGGCCTGAGTATGAATGAGTATGACTTCGCTGGCGGATCTGAGTGTGAGTGCACCGAGTATGCGAGGGAGAAGGCGGAGGCGTCACACTAATAACGAGTGTCCTACTCAGGGCATGGGGAACAAACATGCTGCCAACAAGGTTCACAATAACCTGCAACGGTGGACTCAGCGCGTGAGAATCCAACCCAGAACTGAATACCACGACTCCAACCTGTGGGTACGCACGCAGTGTCACGGGATAACTGTGCGTACGCTAGCAAGACGTCCGAAGGACAGCGCCAGCGTGTGATGCACAGTGCTACTTCAAGGTAGGGTGGTCCGTGGGGAGAGCAGATCTTACCTCACCAATGCGATGATGGCTTTCTGTAATATGCAACACTCAACCATACAAATCCGCTGACCCTGTCGGCGTGTGGAAGAGGCTGTTCCGTTTGACTCGTCCTCGTCGTCGTCGTGGTCGTTGTTGTCGTCGTCGTCGCTGTCGCCGTCGCCGGTCCCCTCCCTTTCCCTGAGCCTGGCGCCGCTGCCTCCACTGTCACCGGGCCCTCCTCCTCGAGCGCGCCAGCCACAGCGAAATTGAGCAGCGCTGTAGTTGACTCAGAGGGAAGCCCCTTCCCTTTGATCCCTTTCCCGCCGGAGGGGGGGGGTCCCGGGTGGGGTCCCGGGGGAGCTGCTGGGAGGGGTCCCGGGGGAGCTGCTGGGAGGGGTCCCGGGGGAGCTCCCGGGGGGGGTCCTGGGTCAGATACGACTCCCCTCCGGGCGGTTCTGAAGCCCAGACAATCCCCAATACGTAGCAAAAGTGCCCCGAGAGGCCCCCAAGAATGTCCTCGAGGGCTCCGAATCGCCGAAGTGTCGGTCAACGTCGCGATAGCCTCCAGACAGCTTTGGAAGTTCCCAATCCAAGGACACCCCCAAGAGGGCCCCAAGGAGCAAAAATCATAGATTTCTCTTAGGTTTTGAAAGATTTGGGCAGTTTCGCCTTGTCAGCTTCCCGACGGTCCAAGACAGGCCAAGAGGCCCCCAAGACCGCCCCAATATCGCCCAAGACCCTTCCAAGATAGCCCAAGAGGTCCCCAAGACGGCTCCAAGAGAGAGCCCAGACTGGAAACTCGACCGGACATTTCGAACCCTCGGCCTCAGAAGCTCCCAGGAGGCCCACATAGGCCCCTAAGGAGCTCCCCACGAAGCACCAAGAGGCTCCCAAGATATCCCCAGGAAACTCCAAGAGGCCCCCACGAGGCTCCCCAGCGGCCCCCAACAGCCTCCCAGGAGGCCCCAGACTACCCCCAAGAGGCCCCCACCCCCCGAGAACTCCCTGTGCCTGCTCCTCTTCCTCCTCCTCATGCTCCTCCTCCTCATCATCATTCTTCCCCGCCTGCTCCCTCAACTGCCTCCTCCACCCTTCCTCCCTCTCCATCTCCTCCTCCTCCACCCCCCCCCGCGTTTCCATATTCGTGGCCTCCAGGGTCGGCGGCACAGGCCGTAAGGCCTTCGCAATATACTGCGCGACGGGCAGGTACGGCGCAGGCGGGTTTTAATGCATCTATAGAAGGTGCCCGAAAATTACTGTGTGGAGAGCCCCTTACTCCAAGCTCGCAGTAATGAAGGATACGGCTTCATGAGGGCAGACATAATGCCATACATCGATGGAGGACAACATACTACAAACAAGGATGAGCAACGATAAGAAACGGATGTACGACGAGGAGTGATACTTAACAAGACGAAGAAAAGAGAACATGAGATGTCGCAGAAAGAAGACGAACACTCAAACTTTGACAACACTTCGAAGATATGATCGGCACGACCACTTCCAATGGCAAACTTTGAAGCTGAAGAACCCGGTCAGCCTTGAAAAAACCCGCCAACCATCCCG